GGACAGAGACAGCAGCCAGTGGACAGAGACAGCAGCCAGTGGGCAGAGACAGCAGCCAGTGGAGCCAGGGACAGAAGGTCTCTGCTGGAGGACAGCTGGCTGCTAGGCATCATGGGACGTGTAGTTCTAACACAGAGAAATCACACCCTGACTCCTCACACAGAACTACAACACAAGGAATGGATGAATGAATGAATGAATGAATGAATGAATGAATGGATGAATGAATGGATGAATGGATGAATGAATAGATGGATCTTTAAACCACACTGTGAAGACCAATGAGCAGTTAATCCCAGAACCAGTTTGACCCGTTAAAGGGTCCAAATCTCACCTTGTAGTTGCTGGAGTTGACCCAGGAGCCGGCCAGGACGTCCACCATCCTGTCCAGCAGGTTCTGGTTCTGGTCCTGGTCCAGTCCAGGACAGCGCTCCTGGCTGAGGACCAGCTGGCTGATCTCCTGACCCACCTGCAGCCTCCTGCCCAGGTCCTTCTGTAGAAGCAGCTCCAGCAGGGACTCCATGCTGCTCACCTCCTCCTCATCCTCCTCCATGGCTGCTCCTGGTTCTGCTCCTGGTTCTGGTTCTGGTTCCGGTTCCGGTTCCGGTTCTGGGGTCTATCACAGTGAGGCGTCCTGCAGAGGAGGGACGCTCCTCATCCTCCTTCCAGAACCTGGTTCTGCTGCTGGACAGTAACCAGCTAGTTAGTAGGTTAACTAGTCGGTATCCATAGATCTGGACCTGCTGATAAATCCTGTAGTTAAGGACTAACTATTAACTAGTCAGCAGGTTAACCTGCAGGTTAACCCATTAACCCTGGATCCAGACCAGCAGCTTCTAGCTAACACATGTCTAGTTAGGAATCTTTATTCTAACTATAAACAGTTAACCAGGTTAACTAGCGGCTTTACTGAGTCTCCTCCCTGATCAGAACTACCAGTCTGGTTGTAACCTATAAGTTACTCTGTGGTTTAACTCTCACTAGCAGCTGGTTAGCTGGTAAACCTGCAGGTTAACCACAGAGCAGCTAGCTGCGGCGGCTAACTGAGCGGCTAGCATTGCTGTTAGCATTCAGGGCTAACCGGACTAGCATGGATCCACAGCGGCTCCGTTAGCGGGACCTACCTGTCTGTCCGCCTCAGTGCGGTGGTTATTAACCCGGTGAGCGGCTCCTGGCTTCTGGCTCTGGGACCGGATGGACGGAGCGGATCCCTGGAAGTAAAGCAGCCCGGAGAGGCGATGCTGCCTCTGGCCGCAAACTACCGTTACTTCCCTTCAGTGGCCAGCAGCTCCCCACCGTTCACCTCCACAAACCAACACCGACTCTGCTTCGGTTCATCAGAGGCTGAACTTTAGCTTCACTATCGCCTCATTAGAGGTTAATAACCGGAGGATCAAAGATTTATCCATAAAACTTTAAATATTTTAACCCGCAGAGTCAATGCAGCCGCAGAACGATGACACCTGGTGGCTGAAATGAGACACTACACTCTACATGAGGCGCTTCTGTTTTTTTTTTATCTAAAAAAAACTGTTAATATGTTTTTGAAGTATTATTTCAATTTGATATGAGAAAAAGGGAAAAATGTCAGAAATGTCAGAATTCTGACATTAAAGCCAAAATTCTCAGGAAAAAGTCAGAGAAAAAACATAATTTTGAGACTAAAGTCAGAATTCTAAAGGAAAAAAAAAAATCAGAATTCTGACTTTTTCCCATATTAAGCTGAAATCAAATTTAAAAATCAATTACCTTTTTTTATTTTTTCAGTGGCCCTCATCCTCTTCCATACGTTTCTGCCACTCTGTTAAAATATTATATAAATTGTCTCATTATAATAAGATAGTATCTGAAAATAATGATATATCTTATTATACTTTAAAAATGTATTTTATATTTTAACAGTGGGGGAATAATGCAACCAAGAAAAAACAAACTGATAAATTATGAATCAATAATGATGATTAATAACCATGTAACTAACTGATGTAAACATAACTAATAGTTTTATAGTCAGTGACTTTCCAGATAAAAAGAAAACCTTTGGAAAAGCTAAACACTGACAGATACGAGATAAAAGATTATCCAGCTGCTTCAGGTTGGTCCAGTTAGAGCCACAGAATGATTACTGGAAATGGGTCAGCCATGGCTCCCAAAGGTCCACAGAACATGCAGATTAGGAAATGTGGGTCATTTTTAGAGGCCACCGTGACATCACTGAAGAGGACCATTGGAGACTGCAGATTAAAAGATTTCTGGCGGTAACTCAGGTTCCCTGCTAAAGTGACCGATCAACTCCTTCTTTCACTGCAGGGGGTCTGCGTCATGGCGGACGGCGATCCGATGATCCCGGTCAGAACTCCTCTC